GTCACAGTCAGTTACTTTCTGAGCTCCTTGGCATCTGAGCATGGATATAAAGTCATCAGGTAGATTTCAATGGTAATGTTTTTCACATCTACAAATTATTAAGGAGCAAATTTTTATGCTTTGAAGAATTATTTCTTTTCCTTTTTTTTTTTTTATTTATTTATACACCCACTTCCCAGGTAGCACCCTCCCATAGCCTCCCTCCCCCGACTAGAGCCCTTATACTCTGATATGCCTGCTACTGTCTGCTGTGCTGTCGGCACTGCCAGCCATTCCCCACTACTTGCCCTTCTGGTGGATCTAGTCAGCCTATCTAGAGGATACTTTTATCTTGGGGGCAATCGACAGCCACCTAACTGGACTAAAAGCCCACTCAATGGGAGAAAACTCGTGTGGTACTGTAAACACAGCCAAATACACAAGGCTGGAGAGGTCACAGATCTTACAGAAAACCCCACTGTCACATCCCTAGACTAATTTCTTACCATGTGAAAAATATATGTATTCTTATATGTACAGACAAATATCCCCGTCACCACTCATCAAAAACTTCTTTTGCAGACGGAGACTACTACAGAGTACCACAACTATATACATGGACATTGTCTGTGAACTGCCCAAGCCTAAGCGGCACACCTACAATGCAATGTCTATGTCTAAGGCTCATGGAACACAGAATTAGGGTTAAGGAACATAGAACTAGGGGTAAAGAGGACACTAAAGAATATCTCAGTTCTCATTAATGAAGCTCCCTCATGTGACAGAGGCCCAGGAACACAAAATGTCACAAATGGCCAAAGCATAGAAATTAAGAGTTGACAGAATGCTGTTCCTTGGACAGGACTCTTAATATTAAACTTCACCCACTCAGGGCTCAGGGAACATTGTGGAAGAGGGGGAAGGAAGATTGTAAGAGCCAGGGAGGAGGTGTATGACCATATGGAAAGAGAGTCCTACAAGCTCCTAGGACCCTGCTCATATGAATCTTCAGCAATGGTGTCAGCATAAACAAGTCTTATGCAAACTCAAGCAGACAAAAACCCAGCATAGAATTGGGGAAATGGACAGCAGAAATACTGGCAACTGATTACTGCTAAGCAAGGAAGAGCTGGTCTTCCTAAAGCGAAGGACTCTAGGTAAGCTGTCTAAATCTCACTCAGTAGATGAACTTGCAACTGACGAATGTCGGGGACACTAACTTGACACAATAGGCCTTAACACAAATGACAGAATGTATAGGAGGGTGCCAGCGGGGAAGGGGGTATAAAAATGATTACGATTGAAATGTTCTGTATAAAATACACAAAAATTCAATTAAAAAAGATTTATGCGTTAAAAGCTTTGGAATAGATCCTGATAGATGTAAATTTTTTTGTTTGTCTGTTTTGAGACACGGTGTCATGTGGCCCAGGATAGCTCTGAACTTGCTATGTGGACAGGGATGATCTTCAACTCCTGATCCTCCTGCCTCCAGCCAGCATTATAGGCAAATTCCACTGGGCCTGGCTATACAGCTGTAATCTTAAGTTGTAAACTGATGAGATGATCATTTACTTGCAGTTACAGAAGTAGTGTTACTGATCTGCAGTGTTACTGGTATGCAGTCACAGATCTCAAGATACAGAGGACACCCTTGAATAGCTCTTTGTGGGAAAAGGACCAGTTATTTCAGCTTTCTATATCAAATATCCAGGACCGTGCCAAGCACACAGTTACAGTTGTCTGAAGTCCTATTAAAAAATTAACATTATATCTAAAAAGAAATATATTCTAATTGTAACTTTAAAATAAAATTGGAGGTAAAGTTATTTTTTAAAAAACATTTGAGATGATTATATAGTATCTTTCAAAAATGTAAATAGTCTAATTTCCTCAACTGAGGTCAGAAATGCAAATGTATTGACTATATTCAACTAGTTCATAGCAATCACCATAAGAAACAATTCAAGGCATTCTCACCTCTTGGATTTGCATCCATATCTCCAGATGTTAGGCCAATTAAGTTGGGGCGTTGTGTCTGTGTTCTTGAAAAGAACTGTCTGTACTGTGACCTACCAGAACTGGTAATACTAGGAGCTTCTGGGTTATAACCATCCGGTTCATATGTATCTGAGAAAAAAAGAAAACACTTAATAGCAAATTAGAGGATCAAATCATTTATCATTACTTAAAAATGATTGGCTGCTAAAAATGTACATTCTTCAACAAATATAGTCACATCAATCCATATATATTTTTCTTTGAGTTACAATATAAAGACCTTTGTTTTATAAGTGAAAGAAAACAACACTATTGTCACAAAACTTATTTTCCAGATTCATTTAGTCACGTCTATCCGATATTAATCACCTAAGCCAAACTTCAATGCACATTTTTCCCATACGTGAACACCGTATATATAAAAGATTGCTAAGTTCTGTATCTCATCAATTCCTAGGTACTTCTGTAATCAGGAGGGAGGGAAAAATCAATTTATTTGATTTTTTTTTAAGTTGGAGAGAGAATAGCTAGTTTCCTATTCAAAGTATATTTCAAATAAGAGGTAGATAAGACAAATTTTTTAATTATCTTAACACACTACTAACCAATACACTTTTATCATACTTCTTGCATTTTTCTACAACAAAATTTTAATTCTAATGCTAAATAACCATTTTATCAGTGTTAAAAGCAATTCTGAAAGAAAAAACAAAACAGAAAGCATGCTTCACTCTACAGCAAATCAAAGAGTAAGACACCAAAGATACTGGTTTTCATAATTATGATTGAAAAGTACTTGTGTTTCTTTCCTTTCATTCTTAATGGAAAAACACGTTAAGTCATTCATACAAAGTTTAAGCTACAAGATCAGCTTCATTAAAATCACAAATGAGGGCTGGAGAGATGATTCAGTGGTTCCGAGGACTGACTATTCTTGCAGAGGACCTGGGATTGATTCCCAGCACCCACATGGTGGCTACGAACTGTCCTTAACTGTCCTTAACTCCAGTTCCAGGGGAATCCAAAACCCCTTTTTGACCTCCGCGGAATTGCACAACATGGGTGTACTTATCTTACCTACATGTAGGCAATACAAACATACACATAAAATAAAAATAAAATATTAAAAAAAAAAAAGATCGCCGGGTGTGGTGGCGCACTCCTTTAATCCCAGCACTCAGGAGGCAGAGGCAGGCGGATCTCTGTGAGTTCAAGGCCAGCCTGGTCTACATAATGAGTTCCAGGACAGCTAGGGCTGCAGGGAGACCCTGTCTCAAAAAGACCAAGAAAAAAAAAAGATCACAAATGATCCCCTCACTGGTGAAATGTCTCAGGTCTCAGTGGTTAAGAGCTCATACTGCTCTTCCAGAGGACCTGAGCTTGGTTCCCAGCACCCACATCGGGTGACTCACAACTGCCTGTAACCCCAGCTGCAAGGAATCCAACAACCTCTTCTGGACTCCGTGAGTACCTGCATTCAATGTACATATATCCACACACAAGCACATCACATACACATAATTAAAAATAATAAAATGATGCCCCCATTAGGAACCTTCCTGACCTCTAAAGGCAGCTGTCTAAATAAAGCCCCTGTCTAAGTAAGCTGCACTAAGATTCAGAGGTCCCCAGTGTGGCAAATGTCATTCAAGTCATCTTAGATTAAACCTTGCTCCTGAATACTATATTTCTCCTAACTTCAGGTTTCATGAGCATATTCTCTCCTTGTACAAACATCAACTATGAGTCTAAAACAATCAAATGTCATTGAAACACAACTGAGGGGGCTGGAGAGATGGCTCAGCTTTGAGGCTGAATGTTAAGCCTTGAAACTGAAATACAAATCCTGTAATAGGAACAACACTGTTCAAGTAATTTATTACACCATCCATCCTCCTCTGAGAGGGTAGCACAAACCATCCATGTAATTAATTTTCAAAATAATTTATCATTTTTGAGAATTAATTTTTAATTTATTGATATTCTTTCTGAACCACACCATGAGCTGTTTTCAAAAGGAGAAGGGAAAGGAAGTAGAGAAAAGGTGGAGAAGATATACTGAGCAGGAGGTCCAGGACACCCGCTATCTCAGTTGTATTTCTTTAAAAATATTTTATTTATTATTTCTATTTTATATGTATGTGTGTATTGTCTGCATGTTGGTAAGTGCACCCATCTCATGCAATGCCTGTGGAGGACAGAAGAGGCTGTCAGATCCCCTGGGACTGGAGTTACAGACAGCTGATAGCTGCCATGTGGGTGCTGGGATTCGAACCCAGGTCTTCTCCAAGAACAGCCAGTGTTCTTAACTGTTAAGCCATCTCTCCAGCCCCCTACATCTTATTATCTTATTAATTTATTTATTTTTATGTGTATGTTTGCCTTCATGTATGTAAATGTACTCAGGCAGTGCAATGTCCACAGAGGTCAGAAGAGGGTATCATCACACTTCCTGGAACTAGAGTTACTGAGGCTGTTAGCCACCATGTGGGTGCTAGAAACCAAACCTGGGTCCTCTGCAAGGGCAGTCAATGCTCTTAACCGGTAAGCCATCTCTTCAGCCCCTCTATCTTATTTTTTGAAGTAAGATCTCTCACTAAGAATGGAGGTCACTCATTTGGCTACACTGGCTGGCTAGTAAACCCCAGGTCCTTCCTGACTCTGCCTCCCCAGCAATGGGCTTGTAAGTGTGCAAACACTATACCTGGCTTTTTATATGGATCCTCCAAAGAGTACCAAAGTCAGGTTCTCTTACTTTTGAGGTAAGCCTTACACCAACTGACCCATCTCTCTACTCTCAAGTTTTTGTTTCTTTAAGTCAACAAGACAGAATTATTACTGAGAGAAACACGTGCTGTAATAGCATATAGCTTAAAAGCAAATCCTACCTACTTGCTTATTAGATTGAAATGCATTAAATGTCTGAGATATAGTTTGAAGATGATACATTTAAAAAGCAGATTCCATCGTTATATTGACTCTAAAAATTATGTTTAATAACAAACTTTTTGTCATCATTTAAGCAAATCAGCAAATTATGGTAAAGAGTTTTCAATTATTACTTAGTACTAGTAACAGAAACTTTCCCATAGTTAAGGCTACAAAGTTTTTCAAGTTGTATAATCAAATAATCCTTTTCTAAAAATCACTGGGAATACAGAGAATAAACTTGAAAGTTTTTTAATCAGGCCGGGTGTGATGGTGCACACCTGCAATCCTAGCACTCAGATTCCAAGTTTAAGGCCAATTTGGGTTATACAGAAAGACCATGTTATTTTTTAAGCCCTGTAGTTAATTACGATAAACTGAAATCTAAAGGCAAAGTGAAAAATTATCTTCAAAAAAGAATCTCACAAGACGCTAACAAAGCACTTCACAGATCTTCAAAAAAACATGTCAATAGGTGAGTTTCCAAGAATACTACATTATATGCAATCAGTTCCTACAACAGGGAGGGTGGGGGACAAACATGTTTATCGATCACCAGCAAGAAATCAGATGTTTGTGCTTTATTTTAAGAAAAAATTACCCTATTTTTTTCTTATAATATATAGTTAATTAATCAGAAAACACTCAGATAGTCTCTTCCTGTCTACCTGATTAGGAATTACACCAAGAAGTATGACTGTAACAAGGCACTGAAAGTAAATACAGAGGATAACAGAGATGACAGACACTGGGAGCCTAATCATCTAGCAACCACTAGGGACAAACCAAAGAAACAGAGAAACAGAGCTTTAATGGGAATTCGAGATAGATTAGGGTGCCAGGTCATCTGCTAGACTGACCAACTTAAGTTAGAAAAGACCAGTGAGGAGGATGGCCATCTGTAACAAAGCTTACCTGGGACCAGAGGGGTGGGACTGGAGACTGAGGTATGATACCCAATGGAGGATCCCATGAGGTTTCGAGGTGGCACCAAACGAGCTGCCAATAGAGGAGGTGGTGTCCCCAACTGAAGTCGCTCAGATGCAGCAGCACCATGTTCACGAGAATACATGGGCTGTCCTACAGAGGAAAGAATTGGAGGGCAGCTGGGATTGAGAGTCACAAGTTTGCTTCTCTGAGGTAATGGTGTACTTCCTGAGAGCCAAGAACAAAGAAATCACAACAACAGGAATAGTAGTGGAGAAAGATGTTAGAGATTCTAACTCAAGAAAGCACAGACACACAACTGGTTAGGAGGCACCAAGGTATAAAGTGAGGAAGAATTAGGCAGTATTGAATGATCTGTTTTTTAGAATCTTTTCTTTTTATGTATTAATTTCTTAAAGATAGGGTCTCATGTATCCCAGGCTTTCCTCAAAGCTGAGGCTGGCACTGAATTGCTCATCTTAGGCCTCCACCTCCCAAATGTTGGGATTGCAGGTATGCATCACACCTGACTTTCAATCTTTTAGAATCTTAAATGGAATAACTATTTGCTAATTTTATCTAAAACTGATCGACCAAATCAAGTTAGAGAAAGAAACCCTGAGCTATTATTCACATAGAATCTTGTATTAATGAGCCATGCAGCTAGGAAGGTTGTCACATGTATATCCCTCTAATCACAAAATTTCAAGTTTGCACAAAACACATTCCCATATCTAAGAGCAGGGGGGAAAAAAAAAGCAAGGAAAACAAAACAAATCACCATTGACAAATCCTCACAGAGAATAAGAATGTTCAAAAGAAAACAAATTAAACAAGAAAATGAAAATTTGTTATCACCACAAAAAGGCTGATAACAAAGAAAGAAGAAAAAATGGATAAAAACACAAACAGACCAGCAATGGATATATGGAATGATCCTGGCTATTAGGAGCCATATTTTGAAAGAAAGTACATGTATTATGTATGTACAAGTTTGCAGACACAATGAAGTTCTGTACAATAGGGTTAGAAAAAACAAAGTACCACAGGGCAAAGTATTCCTTTGGTTTCCATTTAGTATTTCTGACAACATAACAAGGCAAGGCATATAAATTTATAAGATTTGGCCAATGTTTTCTACCCCAAAGCCAGATGCTCACTATAGCACAAGACACAATAAAGAAAACTTAGAAAGCTTTAATATGTCATCAAAGGTACTTACAAATATAAAATTCAACAAGATTTTTAAAACACCTTATTAGGGCACACCATCAAGAAACTACTTGATTTCACAGTGAGAAGAAATAAATATGCTAAAATTCCCTGCCCTTCTCTTTCCACGTGCATGAGAAAAGAGGGATGTGATAAACTACAATGTAACTACACAACTACACATTTAATACCAATCTTTACAAAATTTATGTTTAAAAGGACTCAACCAATTGCTACACTGCAATGACAATTTAACATATCTTTAGTAATATGAAAACAGTTCTAATCATATCCTACTGCAGAGCATTCTCTGTAAAGAATGATCAATAAGCAGAATCAAGTAGAATGCTTGAGAGAAAAATAAAAGGAAATACAATGTCAACCTATAGAATTCCTTTAAATTTATGATACACCAGGAAATATCCTAGTATATCTAATTATTAAATAATTGTACTGTAGACTAAAAGACTAGTTTGCACAATGTCCTTTTTTAAAACCACAGACAACAGGAAATTCAAACATTGAGAATGTTGGCTGTGGGTGGGTGAGATGGCTCAGTGGGTAGACATACTTGCGCCATACCTCATGACCTGAGTTCAATCCTCAGAGCCATAAGATAGAAGGAAAAAACTGAGTCCTGTAGGTTGTTCTCTGACCTCCATGAATGACATGGCAAGCACGCCTTCGAACACACACACACACACACACACACACACACACACAAATTTTTAAAATGTAAAAGATGGCTGTTTATTCAAATGAAACTTGATTTTCTTAACATTTAATTGCGATCTCAAAATAATACTACTAAAAGAAACACAAGATTGTTTAAACAAAGGGCTTATTATAAATAAGAACAGGTAATTTACACTAGTGTACAATCATATCCCTTACCCTCAGAAGCAAGATAACTATCAAAGACTGGCATGCCAAAAATAAGATAAAAGGAAAAAAAAACAAAAAAACAATAGGCCGGGGGTGGTGGTCCACCCTTTAATCCCAGCATTTGGGAGGCAGAGGCAGGCAGATATCTGGGAGTTCAAGGCCAGCACAGTCTACATAGTGAGTGCCAGGCCAGCTGGCAGGGAGACCTTGTTTCAAAAAGACCAAAAAAAAAAAAAAACCCAGGAGCTAACAAAGAGATCATAAAACCTGAATGCCAAAAAGGAATACAATGGAGTGGAATAGACTATATTAAATGTAGTTTTAAAAACTTTATGAGCTCATAATGATACTTTAAAAAAATCAGTAGCCCCCTCTGGAAGAAAACTAACTCATTCTGAAAATAGCTAAGTTGAAGGAACAAGTGCTTATCCAGTCTCACCTATAAAAACTATATTTCAGGTTAACTAAAAGGTCAACTGTCTAGTTTAACATTCTTATAAACATCAGTAGTGAATGTAAAAACTGTTGAATTAAGAGTACCAAATCAGCAACAGATCTAGGCAATGGTCAAATGTAGCTGCTGGAACTACGAGCAATTTTCAAGTAAGCATACACACTGAGTACACGGTGTGACACAAGTATCATATCATGACCATCATAGGGCAATACATCTAGAAAATATTCTTCCCAAAAGCAAAAAAGAGAAAGTATCAATCTAATCCAGTCCCCAATTCTAAGTTACAGAAAATAGAGGGACGGTGTGTTTTAAGGTATACTATGAGACACTCTGCCAACTTTAGGACAAATGATCTGTTCCTTTAACAAATAAATATCTCACACATACAAAAAAAAAAAGAGGCAAGGAAAACTGTTATAGAAACTTATCAAGTAATTATAATGTGTAACCTCATTTGGACACAGCTTCAAATCAATTAGCTGAAAAGGCAAATTAAGGATACAAAAGGCGTTTGGCACGGTGGGGGATATATGAGTTCCAGGCCAGCTGGGGCTATAGTGAGATCCTGTCTCAAAAATAAACCCCCAAAACCCAAACAAAACACTACCAAAAGAATACAATTGGCAAATTCAAACACTAAATGGATACCTGACAATCAACAGTAAACTGAGAGATGTGAGGTTGAGTGTGATAATCATGTTGCAACTTTGTGTGTAGTCTTTTTTTAAAAAAAGAAAAATCTTGTGTTGGGAGGTAGGTATATGATACGGGGAGGAGGTGCATGCTAAGGTATCACATATAGAAGCTAGAGGACAACCTCAGGACTGGTCCTCAGCTTCCACTGAGACAGGGTCTCTCTCTTGTGCATCTGCCAGTCTAGCTGACTTGTGAGATTCTTTGGAATTCATTTGTCAGTGTAGACCTGGGGATTCACACAAGTGCTACTGCTCCAGGCTTTACATGGGTTCTGGGAATTTGAACTCAGGTTCTCAGGCTTGTACAGCAAGTGCTTTTGTTCACTGAGCCATCTCCATAGCCCTTGTCCTTATCTTATAAAGACACGTATTTTTTAAAATTACATTTTTTTGGGGGGGGGGTCTTTTTGAGACAGGGTCACTCTGTAGCCCTAGCTGGCCTGGAACTCACAGAGATCTGCCTGCCTCTGCCTCCCAAGTGCTGGGACTACAGGCGTGTGCTGCCACGTCTGGCCTTAAAAAATTACATTTATTTGTGTGTGTACACATGCCACAACATGTGCATGGAGGTCAGAGGCCAAACTGTGGGAGTTGATTCTCCCCTTCTATCATGTAGGTCCCAGCAATAGAACTCAGACTGTCACAGGCTCGGTGGGAAGTGCCTTTAACTACTAAAGCTTCTTGCCAGTCCTAAAAAAAGATGTTTTTAAGGATGAATGTCATATTTAAGACTTATTCTAAAATCAAGTCAGAAGACATGTTTATTATTTTTATTTTATTTTACGTGTATGAGTGTATTTGCCAACATGTAAATGCACTTATATTGTGCAATGACTGCAGAGGTTAGAAGAGAGCACTGGATCCCCTGGAACTGGAGTTACAGTTGTTAACTGACATGTGGGTGCTGGGATTCGAACCCAGTTCCCCTGCAAGAAGAGCAGCCGGTGTTCTTAACTGTTGAGTCATCTCTCTAGCCTCCCCTCATCCATTTCTATACTTTTATTTATTATTTTTATACATTATTTTATTATTTTATACTTTATTTTATTATTTTTATATTTTATTTATTTTATTTATATTTTTATTTTATTTTTTATTTTTTTATTTTTTAATTTTAATTTTTTTTTACAATTAAATTAGTTCTATGATGTAAGTACAGTTTTATTCCCATTGTGCAC